AAGATTCACAAAATTCTGAAGTAAAAAAAATACTTAAAAAAAAAAAAAAAAACGAAACGTAACGTAACGTAAAATTTTCCGATCAAAAATGGCTGAAGGTTAATTATTTTTTTGTCTTCCAGAAACTCCTGAATAAAGTCAGTCTGGGTCATCCGGCAAAGTGCACAGCGTACAGTCCGAACGGTGAGATGGTGTCCATCGGGATGGAGAACGGAGAGTTCATCGTGCTGCTGGTGAATTCTCTGACCGTATGGGGCAAGAAGAGAGACCGCAGCGTGGCCATCCAGGACATACGGTCAGAAGAGACGCTGCATGGCTAATACACAACAAAACACATGATCATAAAAGCACAGGTTTTTCCTCACGCAGGTGTTTCTCACGCAGGTTCAGCTCTGATAACCGGCTGCTGGCTGTCGGCTCGGTGGAGTGCGCTGTCGATTTCTACGATCTGACTCTGGGGCCGTCTCTAAACCGGATCGGCTACTGCAAAGATATTCCTGGATTTGTGATCCAGCTGGACTTCTCTGCTGACAGCAAATACATCGAGGTACAAAAACATAATGAGCAAAATCACAAATAGAACATTTTGATAACATACTGCCCTTTTATTCATACATAGCTGAGATGTAGTGCAACAAAATATTTATTCATGCACACAAATTGTTTTTGTGCATGCACATTTTCCCACAAATAAAGGACATTGCATGGAATTAAAGTCAACAAAAACAATTTATATATATTTTTTTCATTTTGGCTTAGACGTTAGTAGCTAAAATGGGAGACCCTCACTAATTTTTGTGCCAAATTTCTATTTCCTGTACATTTCTATATATCATTTTTCCACAAATAAAGGACATTGCATGGAATTAAAGTCAACAAAAACAATTTATATATTTTTTTTACATTTTGGCTTAGATATTAGTAGCTAAATATCTATCTAGCTAACTAGATGTTAGTACCCTCACTAATTTTTGTGCCAAATTTCTATTTCCTGTACATTTCTATATATCAGTAGTAATGCACAGATACATATTCATTTGATCCCTGAAAACATATCGTCACCTTTTTTTATGGTGCTTTATACAGTCCAGATTTTTTCAAAGCAGATTCACTTTTATAAAACAAGAAAATAATAGTTTTAATGTTGTAACCCATGCTGCAAAAAAATTTCAAATGTATTTAAAAAATATATATATTTCTAAATATATTTACTACCATTATGTTTGACCACTTTTTCTATATTTTTGAAAATATATTTAAAAAATAATTAATATATATATTTTTTATTTAAAAATATATTTTTCTCTCCATATATTTCAATCCAAAAAAAGACATTCATGTGTCACATTTGAAGAAAAACATTAAACTGTGTTTTCTTGCCCCTGAAACACATGAAATATATTTTAGTATATGAAGGTTGAAACTAAATATATTTTCAATTAAAAAATTTGCTTCACTGTGTACAACAATGTATTATATATTCTTTCATATTTATATATTCAAAGTTTTTTTATTTATATTTACATTCTAAATCACATACAACAATCCCCGACCCTCACCATCAAACATCTAGAGTAGCATCCATACTGTCCATTAATTCAGACTGGAATTGTAAGTAGAAGAACCGAGCATATATATATATACACATGCCAACATAAATCAACCTCCAACCATATATAAAAAGAAAAATAATATATATAATATTAAATTTATTTATTTATTTTATTCTATTTTTTGCTGTATGGTTAAGGTATGAAACAAATTTCATTTCAGCTGTAAAGAAGACAATAGTCAGCTCAATTCGGTTCAGTTCAATGTCAGTGTTATAAAGTTCATCAATTACAAAACGAGTTCAATCCATCTATAAGCAACATTACATAAGACAAAAGTGTCATTATACAGTTCAGTTTAGTTCAGTGTTGCGATTTAGCGTGAATTTAGTCTGTGTAAATAACACTGATATGACCGGTGTAGTTTATATTTTGTGTGCAGGTCTCTACCGGTTCATACAAGCGGCAGGTTCATGAGGTTCCCAGTGGGAAGATCGTCACAGAGCAAGCCCTGATTGACCGGATCACCTGGGCGACCTGGACCAGGTGAGGACACAGATCTGTGCAGTAAACGGTCCTCAGAAATGACATCAGTGTCCTGTAGTAAAGCTCTTCCTCCTGTACAGTGTTCTGGGTGACGAGGTTTTGGGCATCTGGCCACGTAACGCAGAGAAGGCAGACGTGAACTGCGCCTGTGTTTCTCACGCCGGGCTGAACGTGGTCACCGGAGATGACTTTGGACTCGTGAAGCTCTTCGACTTCCCCTGCTCCGAGAAATTTGTAAGTCAGCCGTAAATCAAGTCAAGTCAAATTTATTTTCTATAGCGTTTTTCACAATACACATTTATAATACCTTAATATCTTCATGCCTCATAGTCGCATTTAATGTTAATCTGTCAGTAGCGATTTACTATATGTGACCCTGGAGCACAAAAGCAGTCTTAAGTCGCTGGGGTATATTTGTAGCAATAGCCAAAATTTATTCAGCTTTCAGATGATGTATAAATCAAAATTTTGAAAAATTGCCCCTTATGACTGGTTTTGTGGTCCAGGGTCACATATAGTATAAATCACTTTACCTGTGTATTCTGTATGTGTGCGGATAAAGCTGGATGTAATATTTATCTCAACTCGTGTGAACACTTGAAACATGAAGTTTCAGTAACACTAGGGCTGTCACGATATTAGATTTTTCACACCATGGTTATTGTGTCCAAAAGAATTTACGATATCGATATATCACGATATCTATAGAAACCTTAGGGAATCAGACAAATTAATTTTTTACATTGTTTATTTAGTTTTTCTTTTTACCCAATGAACATAAGGATACTGATAAACACAGGGCACATGCATTTTCACTTCTTCAGGTCACAGCTGACCTGAGACTCTGGCTTTCTCTGTTTTCTCTCTTGTTATTTCATAGGGAGCTTCAAAGAAGACACTGTCAAGTTCAACAGTATGATGAATAAATATTAACGTAATATTTATCTCAACTCGTGTGAACACTTGAAACATGAAGTTTCGGTAACACTAGGGCTGTCACGATATTATATTTTTCACACCATGGTTATTGTGTCCAAAAGAATTTACGATATCGGTATATCACGATATCTATAGAAACCTTAGGGAATCAGCCAAATTAATTTTTTACATTGTTTATTTAGTTTTTCTTTTTACCCAATGAACATAAGGATACTGATAAACACAGGGCACATGCATTTTCACGTCGTCGTCTTCTTCAGGTCACAGCTTCAAAGTCTTCTTCCCTATGAAATAACAAGAGAGAAAATACTGTCAAGTTCAACAGTATAATAAATAAATATTAACATCAAAACTGATACTTTAACCTGTTAACTTGCGTACCCATATTTTAATCTCTTTAATCTATAGTTGCACCGGCGCCAATGAAGTCATGCAGTTAACGCGCTTCTAATTCAGTATTAATGTGCACCTAGAACGACCGCGGAATAGGCATTAAGTGCATGGCACTGCGACCAACTTTCCATTTTACAGAGTTTAATGTGGTCGCTCAGTTTTTCTAGATCAGTTTTAATCGTGTAATAGATTTGAACAAAGAAATCAATTGCTACACAAAGGCAGTATTGGCCATGACTTGATTGCAAATACAAATACAAAAATTAGACGAATTAAAGGAAACGTGTTACTTATTAAAAGAATCACCCTTTTATTTAAATATATGAAAACAGGAAACTGCTGTTAACACGTTAATGTAACATTCCCCTTTCAATGACTAGTAAAATAATGGCAACTTACTGTCTGGATAATATTGAACATGGTTCTTCTGAGATATATTCATCTGCAGACCCGCAGCATGGATACTATTGGTTCTTCTCGGAGTAGTGCGGCTGCAAGCTGCGTCTTCTTGTGTGACAGGTGTCAGCGTTAAGGCGCAGTACTGCCAATACTATTGGTTCTTCTTGGAGTAGTGCGGCCGCGCGCTGCGTTCGCTTCTTGTGTGACAGGTGTCAGTGTTAAGGCACAATACTGCCACCTGGGAGGTCAACCAGGTACTGGCGCTGGAGTAGGCTATTTGCGTGTCGTGTTATCATAAGTGTCCTGTTCATTTTAAATATCATGGTTATCGCCAATACCGGTATATCGTCACACCCTAAATTAACACGATGTCGATATTTCATGATTTGAATATCACGGTTATCGTCAATACCGGTATATCGCGACACCCCTAGGTAACACTTTACAGTAAGGTTTCATTAGTTAGCTTTAGTTAGTGCTTTAATTAACAATCAGCAATACAGTTGTTTCAGCATTTATTAATCGTTGTTAATGTTAATAAAAATACAGCTGTTCATTGTTAGATAATTTCAGCTCAGGTCCATTAAATAATATTAACAGATACGACTTATGATTTCAATAATATATTAGTAAATGTTGGAATTGACATTAATTGAGATTAAGAAATGTTTAAGCTGTATTTTTTATTGTTAGTTCATGTTAACTAACATAGTTTACATTATGGTAATAAATGAAACATTAGAATAAAGTGTTACCAAAGTTATTTTACAAAATAGATTTAATAAATATTATTATTATTAACCATATTAACCATTTATTGTTAACAATATTAATCCTTATTAATATAAATCCATATTAACATTTTATTTTAACCCTTATTATTATTAACAATATAAACCATTATTATTACCCATATTAACCCTTTATATTTAAACCCTTATTTAATTATTTAAACACTATTTTTAAACACTTATTATCCATATTAAAACTTTACCTTTATTATTATTAACCACATTAACCCTTCATTATTAACCTTTATGATTAACCATATTAACCCTTTATTATTGAACCTTAGTATTATTAACCATAATAACCCCTAAACCTTGATTCATTTAATATTTTTACTGACGGTTTGCATTTCTTCACAGGCCAAACCCATATTAACCCTTCATTATTAACCATATTATTTTTTATTTATTTAGTCATTTATCAGACGCTTTTATCCAAAGCGACTTACAAATGAGGACAACAGAAGCAATCAATAGTAGTATTAAAACAACTAAAAACAGATCCAAAACTAAAAGCTAAAACTTTATAAATACTACCTATACACATTTTAA